CGTAACCGTATAAAACCAGTTTATTATGGTTGTGCAGAGGTAGACTTTGAAGCTTTGAACACAGTTTTCTTTCCCGATTACACTTACATTTCGGAGAATAAGCAGAGAAATTGCGGAATTTGACTCCCTCCCCTAGTACTTTCCACCATCCTACAAGCCACTTAGCTTTTTTATCAGAGCCGCTAAGGACTGGAATTCTTTGCTGGAGTCTGTGTTCCCCAAAAGGTATACATAAATTTGGGTGTCTTGAAGGCTCGTGATTCGTTCCTCATCGTAGGTTGCATCATCGGTTACCATCAGGCGAGATAATGGCCAAACCATCGGTCATTTTACCAAAATCCCTCGCTTTGCTTCTTCCCACAAAATCAACGGTCACTTTGTACTTTATACTAAACTTCACTTGTAGCCGTGTGTATTATGCAAGACCAATACTAGGAAATATAAAGATTATGCTTATTCAAATCCTAAAAAGTGTTCTTACTTGCGGGAAGTACGCTAGAGCTGTTTAAATGTTTGCCTTTTTATGCCACTTAACCTTTGCAGTGCGGTGAATTTTTATTTGAATCGATAAATCAGTATTATGTACCTAACAGTTCTATTAGGTAAAGATTTTGTCTAATTTTAGACTACTGATGAGGCGAGGTTAATTAACTGCTTTTCCATTAAAAAATAAGTTTTCTTTTACCTCAATAGATTGGACGTATGTATGTTTGGTGACGTCATGGTGTAGCAGATATTATGACCTTTTTAGGGAAATGGTGGTTTATTAGAATTTTTTAACTAAACTATGAATTTTCCTTATTCGAATGAATAATCGGGTAAAAAAATTCGAAGGTATGAAGAGTAATATAAAAGGAACGAAAGATATTAAGGATATTTGAGGGGTCGAAAACGATTCGTGGAATACGAGTACATTTACACCGTCATTTGCGAAATGAAATGTATTTCTTTTCTTTCTTTTCATCAATTATATAAAGCGAGTTATGTTCTCCAAGTTATCTTTTAGTTACCTTTTTCTTTCATTGTTATTTTACAGCTTAATTATACCAAATTCATTCTTAACGGACGGACTCTACACCGATGCAAACGTTTTATACCACTGTTAAATTCGCACCAAAACCAGGGATTACCTTACCATGTTGGTATTGTAACTCATCTATTAGTCATATGAATGTCGCAATAAGGTTTGAGTAAATATTGAGCAGTCAACTCTTCCTCAAAAGCTCTGATTTCATTAGCCTTTTAAAATTCCCTTACTAATCATTTTGTTATTTTGTTGCAGGTAAATCGATGATACAACTCTTTCTTACCTTATATGGGTGCATAAAGTAGAATTTTGATGTTACTGTCTATGTGGTAAGTCATTAAATAAGTATAGTGTTTTTATAGTTATACTATTGGAGAAAAAAATCAAAGACGTCCAATTTAAATCTACTCCAATTTTAGCGTCAAAAAAGTGAATTGCACGTTGCTACGTATAAATCTCGAGAACGGCTGAACCAATTTAGTTACTTTTTGTACGAAAGTACGAAATTTTTTTAGTTCTTTGACTATAGCATTGACTAGTCCGAATGGAATGGAACGTCTGTCGATTATACTTATAAGGAGATCTTAGCAAATTGTCTTCGATTAATCGGATCAAAATTTTATAATGTTGCATCTAGATAAAACAAAGTACACTATTATAAAGATAAAAATAAAGTAATTGCAACACATTTTGATCAGTCATGTAAAAGAAGAGGCGAGACAAGCGGCTTTAGTCTTGGAAGCCTTGAAACTTTAGAACGCAAAGCGTGTGCCACGACAATCTTGAACTAACGTATACTTGTAAATAAGTATACAAATACAATAAAATATTGAGGTCGGATTTTTCTTCATCAATTTACTTAAAACTATGAACCCGTCTAGCGAAATTTTTGGATTAAAGATCAGTTGTTATTTGCTTAGATTGTAGAAACAACATAGTTTTTGAAATAATAAGTACGAACACAACTTGTACAATAGTGTAAGTATTTTTTAAATGTCTTTGACAACTTCTCAGGATCACATTAAAGTTATATCAATTCTCAGAAAAGTTACTTTTGATTTGGATATTGCACTCAACCAGCATACCTTAGCATCGATTTCGAAATATAATTGATTCATCCTTTGGGTATCAAGGGTAGAAATATAAACAGTAGTATTTTTTTTTTAAACAAATCCAATTTATGAATAGTTGTTTGGTGCTCTTTCACGCCTAAACTTAGTTTAATTATAATTTTAGAATACGAGTGAAACATTAAGGAAATGCTAGTAATTCTCCATGACCTAGGTATTTCCTACATGCAAATAAGACATAGAAAAAAGTAGCGTTATAAATAAAACGATTGTTAATAACGCATTGATATGTCCTGCAGCGATGCAGGTAGCCATAAATAATGGCGTCACATGCTAGCCGGATGTTCCTAGGTGTCTGATGTGCCAACTGATTCCGCGATTGAATATGTTAGCAATGTGCAGAACAATAATACGGTGCTTTCTCGTCCGGCTTATAAAGGTCATTACACTTTACAAAATCGACTAAAAGAAACGGCTCCTTAAGGTCTAAGAGTTTGGGACAGTGTTCTGATTGACTTTTGAGGACCTTTTATCTGTGACATTAACGTTAAACGTATCTACTGCATTCAGGGCTTTCCACATAAGTGTTAAAAGGATTTTATCCTACTTTATCTTACTCTCCCTCCCTTTTAAGGCTTCCCAAAACCAACAAAAATTGTTGTAGTTTTACTTGATGAAAGTGACTGTTCTTTCTTATCCTAGCTAAGTTCCATTTTAGTGTCTCTTTTGCAACCAAAACTTAGTTTTACGTACTGATATAACAAACTAGCTACTCTCGCGGGTCGGGTCTGCTCGGGTCCGTTTAATCGTAGCGTGATGTTTTATAGCCATAGGAACATTGTAGCTATCTATAAGTGAAAGGATTTCGGAAATCCGTCCAGCGGATCCAAAGATACCCCCTACATACAAACAAAAACTTTACCTCTTTATAATATTAGTTTAGATTACCACCATGGCAGTACTAAATGAAACATAGTTTTTTGTTGAAATTATAGTAATTGGTACGCAGGAAATTACTTAATCTCACAGTAATTATAACTTTATACTTAATCTTAAACCGAAGGACACGGAATTCATGTTTTTACCTATTAAGGAAATATACTATATGTTTGTGTTTGTATACATATAGGTACTAGTTTATTACACGAAATTGGCTCTTAATTTGTGTAATTGAAAAAAGGTATCTATTTTATAATCAATTTTATGTCTTGAACTATGATTACGACTTGAAGTGACTATTTCGTAGAGATTTCGAACATGACTTAGATCTCAAGTTTTTATCGTACATTCTTATAGACATCCTTTACCTTAACATTTCCCCACATTATAATTGTTGCATGTGTCGTTTAAACTTAGCTTATATACAAAAACTTGTAATTTAAAGAAAATTATACGAATAAAGTTAAAACTTTAAAAACTTTTCTTCAGAATGTGTCTTTGAAGATTACGCTTGACTTGGAAAAAATAAAAAGCTGTTCAGAAAATAGTAGATAATCACAATCCCAACAAACACTTATAATAGTAATAATTAATAATAATATGTGTGTGGGCGCTAATAGTACAACTCACGCTACATCGAAGGCCGTAACATAATTCTCTAACACCTTACCATATAATCACTTTGTTTTTGACACGTAGTGCCATTTAAAGAGCTTTGTTCCAACGTAGGAAGTATTGTTGTATCGGCTACACATTTTGTTTAATTGTTTAAGGCATAATATAACACCCACTTTCCACATTTTTTTTATTCGACCCATAACTTAACTAGCAAGAAAACCTTCAAGAACAAAGAGTACTCTCCTTGTCGAAAGGCCGGCAATGTACTTGTGACTCCTCTGGTGCTACTGCAGTCCATGCGCGAGGCTGATTGCCTACCATCGGTGATCCGTCTGCTCCTTTGCCCCCTATTCCATAAAAACCTGGCTTGCATACCTATTTGATCGCCTTCGAAAATTAAAAGACGTATTTTAAAGATACCTAATAATGTTTTTGCCCATTGTTCCCCCTTCTTGCTCTTCACTGTGGGGGGGTCGTGACCACCCTTCTCCATCATCGTCCGATCTGTCTGCATCTTTTTCTATTCATACTACCATTCCTACGGTTACATGTATAAAATTGAGCACCAAGTCTTGATTATGTATCTTAAAAAGCTATTGGACAGGGAAACTGGTAAAAACATACTACTTTGGAGGTATGAGGAACAGGGTGGTAAGTTCCTCATCCTCCATTGAAAAGGGAGGATCCTCCGACCAGGCGAGGTGTTCGTGCCTGGTGGGCTATTGCCCGACGGTTGTTGTCGGGATATCTGTATGGGTGCTAATTGTGTTGAAAACTCTTATAGCGCGATGTAGACTCTTGCTCGTGATTGGTGCTGTTGTTTATGTAGTGCGCTAGATGTCGCTACATCACTCCCCTCCGAGACCGGAGGTCGTTAGTAGGTTGAGTCGTCTGAGAGATGTTTTGTCGAGCCAGTGGATGGTTCCAGTGCGTCGGAACTGATGTCGCATAGTTCACGGTGAGTCGGAACTGTCTGCGGTGATGATGCATTTTGGCTCCAGTGGGTCGGAGAGATGCATTGCTGCAGGTGCCCCAGTGAGTCGGGTGGTGCAGTGCTGAAGAGTGGCTAGCTGCTGCGTCGACCAGGAGAGGGAGTACGTCTCTGCTTGCTGACCGGCCGGTGCAGTATGCTGTGCCGAAGTGGCTGATGAGGCTGTAGGTGCTGACCAGGAATGCGCGTCGGCTGCATGCTGGTGGTCAGGGAACCCGTTGTAGCCGTGGAAGCTGGCTGACTGTAGACTCGCTGCTTGTAAGCTCGGGGAAGTGATGACGTCATGGCTAAGAAGTAGTTGCACGAAAGCTGCGTTGATATACATGCTCGGGGTCACCAGTTTGGAGGTATGATGATGATCACGTCGGTAGTATCACGTCGGGGTCACCAGTTTGGAGGTATGAGGAACAGGGTGGTAAGTTCCTCATCCTCCATTGAAAAGGGAGGATCCTCCGACCAGGCGAGGTGTTCGTGCCTGGTGGGCTACTGCCCGACGGTTGTTGTCGGGATATCTGTATGGGTGCTAATTGTGTTGAAAACTCTTATAGCGCGATGTAGACTCTTGCTCGTGATTGGTGCTGTTGTTTATGTAGTGCGCTAGATGTCGCTACACTACCTTTGAACGTACCTACGTACCTATACGACCACCTGTTAAAAATAGGAACTGTGCCAAACCTCTTCTTTTGAGGGATACTTTTGTTCATCAGAAGGCCAGTTGATGATGATGATCACGAATAATGTGAAACATCTTACAATGCAGGCTTTACATAGCATCGAAGTAAATAAAACACTCGACTAAATAATTCACCAAACAAATGTTTACGATTCACATAAACTTACAAATTGCCTCGAAAATGAGATGTAGGTACATTTAATACGTTTTTATGTGTATTTAATAACAAAGCCAGTCATTCAGACAAGCTTTATGGTATTCTTAAAGATAAACCGTTGCCAAATTCTTCGTTGGCGACATGCAAACATCACGGAACTGAATAAGGTAGTATTAAAAATCCAAATAAGTCCATGGAATGTGCGTGGGGTCGTTGACATTTAATGCCAGAAAAGTGATCTAATAAATTATCATCTTCCTCCTTGTATAAGCCATTACGTATCTCGTCCAGCTTATATCTTTAAAGATTAAAAAAATAACTTCCATTGTTATATTTATTATACACAAATAGAAACGCAGATCATGTCTTACATGATCATCTCAATGGAAACGTATTCCTTCATATAAATAAAGTATTTAATACAATAAAGGTACCATTTATAGACACTTTTAATGGGTTGTTACATCCGTGTTTGTATGGACATCCGTATGTGGAAAATAGCTGATTCTGATTGAAGTATATGTATGAACCACTAATTGTCTTGGACCATTAGCGTCAATCGTGGATCCTAGTGTTGTAGGTATTTGAGCCATTCATTTCTCGTAATTTTGCTTTTCAATACCTAAACGAACGTTTTTGTGGGGGGAAATCTTCAAATTGTGGGAGAGAGTGTCAGTCTCTTACTGGCTAAAAACCATCTCGTTCCTTCTCCTGCTCCAGGGCCGCGGTACATAATTGAGCTTGATCTGAAACCTGGCCTAGATGGATTTGCCTTTGTATTTTACTTTGAATAATAATATAATCAATTACAAACGTATCTATGCAATACGTTACCTACAATGGTTAGTCGTGTGTGCCAACTTGACGTACTGAAGATACAAACTTAAATACTAATATTCATATGTATGTATCTACACAGTGATTCATCCAAAGAGGAAAGATTCGTAAAGATTATTCTTCTGATATTTTAAAATATTTCAAAGGATATTAAGGAGCTTTTCCTCGATGCATCGAAAAATTGTCGTGTTTGTAATTATTTAGGACATTAGGGAACTTACTTATTCTGTCTTCTTACGAATGTACACTGTCGCAAACATTGTAACGTGTCGGTGCAGTGTATCGCTTATCAAAGACCCCATTTTTATTTACAACAACTGGTCAACGACTTATTGTTACGCATGTATTGAATATTTATAGGCTTGTTGATCTTGCCCTTTCCAGAACGAGAAACCTAGACGTAACTAGAATGCGGTGATTGTCCACTATTCAAGTTGCGGTTTTATGCCTTTATCAAGGGCTCTTTCATTTTATTATACCTACTTAATGAAATCAAATCTCAATCTTTGAATTATTCTTTTTCATAGGGCGGTAAATAAGTCGACGGATCACCTGATCGCTGTTCATGGACACTACGTCCATTGGTTTTTAAGTGCTTTGCCAGCGTTTTAGGTGGTCGGGATTTGAAGATTGAAGGTGGGTGGATACGATTTGGGCATTCGGTAACTTTACTCGCACGGTGGAACGTAACGCAAGTTGGTTGCCAAATGAGCTGAGGTCCCCAAACGTGCATAATATACTATGCCATCGTCACCTATTTCATCCTTTCTTTCTTATTTATTTGACTTCTCTATAATAATCATTACACAAAAGCGCCCTAGTTTAAAGCTCACATCTTGTGTGTTCTTTATCCCTTTATTCTTTTGCTCAATGTTCCATTAATATTTTTTACCGTGCGTCGTCTTAAAGAACTTTTTTATCCTCACATCTCATACGGTTTTAGGTTAATTTTCCCATAAAAAGACTAATTAGGTTCCAACACGCAACTCAGGTTGATGTCTCACGATATGATTTACTATAATAATATGAAATCAAACATTGGAAAGTTTACTTCATTGTGCCCGACCTAACCTACATTACGAAGAAAGCATTTTCAAGAGCAGAATAATCACAACATTTACTATAGATTTACTGCCGATACGTATATTAGTTGAAAGTTTCTTTGTTTCTACAGTAGTAAATTATGTAGATACTGGATCAATTGGATAGTTTCCTAGGTCAAAAATAAATTAATTCGACGTTACAGTACAATAAAATATTTTTTCAATATTTTAATACTATACTTTTATCCATCGATCTGTCGATACACAAAATTAAAATTAAAAATATTTTTCAACTACTTTTAAAGAAATAAGTGAGCTGGCTAAAGCATAATATGCTTTAACTCCAAATTGTGAGATCATAATATTATTATGATCTCACAATTTGGAGTTTCATAAATATTTAACACAAAAGTATTGTTTTTGACATTTGGATAAAAGTATTGAATTTGACTGGAAACTACCGTACTGTGACGTATACAAACATGGTAAGAAATAAGTCCCGATCGTCATTTGGTTCAAAGTTTATAAAACGAATGGAATTCCTTATACCTATATTAAGCAGTCAGTGTTCTGACGACATAGCTCGGTAGATTGCCTCAAAAGGCTTGAAGAGAGCACAATAATACACAATGAGTAGGCAGGTTGTTTACGTTCCAAAGTTCGATTCTCAGCGTAACTCGTGGGCACCGTTGATGCATTACGAATTTATAAACTATGGGCTGTGTTGGGCGTAAGCGCAGGCGCACCTTTGATGCGATCAGCACTTAATGATTCATTGGCAGCTATGATTAACAATAGTAGCTTAAAAATGTTTAAGAGAAAATTACAGGTGCCTTGAGTTTTTTGAAGTTCAACACAGACAGCAAAACGTATGACTCACAATTTGTTTGATTTTAATAAATAAGGTGAAGGTTTGCTAAAATGATATTCGAGTCGATGCAATCCTGGGTCGCAAACACTTACCGAAGTTCATTGTTCTTGATTTCTAAACTTACGCTATTGTAATAATAATATACACTTAAACGGGCCCTCATCATAATTTCATCCAACGCAAAAGCAATAGACGCTAATAAAATAATCGCAGCGTAGGAGTGACGCACTTACAACGGGCTAAGGGGTCCAACAATACAGCAGTTAACAGCCGGGTTTTTCCAACTTTTTACATTTTCTTACTACAAATAACTCGTACTTCATGCAAATGAGTGATTACATCGGAAAACCCATTATAATTTCAATGTTTTTAACAATAAAACCTAAGAAACGGCCTTGTCATTTGAGATTTATACGTTCCCACTGATCTGTAGTTAGCTATAATAACAGTTGTTAATATAATGTGTTATTCTTCACACATACAATTAACAGATTCCTCGAACCGATATTAAGTCGTCCAACTACAATATTTTAATATTGATGAGATGCATTGGAGATTCCGGGTTGACACTATGTTAACGTGTACTCGTATTAAAATCCTAGATGCATTGATTTCTCTACTTTTTATACAAAATAGACTTAAATAATAACGACACTTAAGTAAATTGATTCAACACGTGTTAGCTTTTTATGGTAAATGCGGTTTGTCATCCTCGTGCAATCGTATTCACCAAGCTTTATCATCACTTATTGGAAGCCATTAGATGATGTAAAATTTGTGTCCTGGACCTTTTATGGTGATCAATGACGACGATGCTAGTCTATCAAGCTTTGATCTATATGCAGATATTATCGACTCATAATTTTATGATGGCTGACTAACTTTGTTTGCTATGAGTTTTAATCATTCAAAGAATTAATTTTATTTGTAAGCATGTTTCTCAGTATCGCTATAAGACGAATGAAAATAACTCTCATTCACAAATTACAGCTCCAGGGTCAATGCTCTTTCAGTCACATATTTATATTTTGTCCGATTATATCAGTGTAGTCAACGTAATCAGAGACAGATTGCGTTTAGTCACCGGTGGTCATCGTTTGAAGATCGTAATTTTTTTATTTAAAATTATATTAGTTGGCATGAGTCAGTATGATTCGTGTGCTTGCCCCGTCTGTTTGATTTGACTGGCCCTCATCATGCTGGTATGCCGTGACGTTTCTGTGACAGCTTTAGAGCTTGGAAATGATGTCATTGCGGTCTGTGCGCGGCAATGACTCGCGCTCCTAATAATTACATTTCACTCTTGTTTCGTCACTCATTCGCATTACGTCAAGTGTACTCTGGTATTTGGGTGCATGACACCATGCCAACTCTGTTATTTGTTTAGCAAGCCTGCCTGGAAGTATCTAATTACGTAGCAGTTGACGATTTCATTTAAGTATTTGATTGGTGTTTCGCCTTGACATCATACTAGTCGATAGTTATGGCTTGGGTGATGCAGAGTTTAGACACAAAGGTTAACGTTTCCCTACGTTGTACGTCACGCCTACGAGCTGCGTACAATTTAAAGATTGGCTATGAGTCGTCCTGCGGTGCGATGCACGTGCGTGCTCCTACGCATGCAAGGTGTACGTGCCTACATTAGGCGCCTGCTACGCGTATTTGGTCATTCTGTGTGCGCCGTCACGCCCAGGAATCGAGTGGGGTTTTCTCGGTATTGTTTACGTAGTAGGGTTACGATCCTTGTGAATTCAATGCGTAACGGATGTGTACGGATTAGCCGCTTGCTAATCGTGATGTTTGAACAATACGTGACAATTGCTCGTTGTTATTGTACACAGGGGAATTTTGGGACGACGGCCTCTATATTTACATGACACAAATGGAATGCTAACCAGTAATGCACTAAGCACAATCAAACTCAAAAATAGATTACATTTCCGTTTCAATCATTTTGATCCTGAATAATATCAACGAAATAACCTTTGATTATACAGCCGACCACGATTTATTAATCTAGATAAGTCTGTGTGGTAAAATTTATGTTGTTACCAGTAACCAATAAGTTCATAGGGCGGTGCCTGCCAGCTGCGTAATTGACGTAATTTTTAGCAGTCGCCCTTCAAGTAATAAGGGTCACTTAATAGCTTTTAACACATAGTTTCATGTTTGAATTTACATAAATAACTTAATAGCTTAGGGTTAAAGCGATTACCGAAATTCTAATATTAAGAATACTACGCTATGATAAGTATTATTTTGTGCGGAATAAGTATTATTTTGTGCGGAATTCGGTGTTCTCCAATTAGTCAAATTCATTACTACTAATTATTTCAAAAACTATACTTTCCTATGATTTTTGTGTGAACTTTAAACATAACTTTATTTTAATGTTATATAAACGTCAAATTCATACCTTATTTTAAATATTTAACAAAAAAATTCTAAAATTAAGTATATCGCCAAATCAATGAATGTAATTTAAAAATCACTTATTAAATCTCAAATTTTTTTTTTATCTAGGAAACCACCTTGTTATATTATCTTGACAATTGAAAAAATGTATCGTTATTCGTCTTATTGTAATACGGTTCAAACCCTATTAGAAAACACTAAGTGAAGATTTTTGTTTATTACATAAAGAATGTCACGGATATTTGTCCCAAAATGGATGAGTCACTATCACCTCTAGGCGGGGTCACGTAAAGTATTTAGGTGCATAAGGAAGTTGACATTACATTAACATTTCACAACCTTGGTCTAAGATATTTTAGCTCTGGAATGTTATAAATCATAGCGATATTATTGCCTGCGTTTTAAAATCATTTTGAAAGTATATTATAACTAGCTTTTACACGCGGCTTCGCTTCCGTCATTTGACTACCTACCATACCATACCTACCATACTTACCCTACCTTCCCTTGGCTACCTCCCTGCCACTTGTCAGTGAAATCGTTCAGCCGTTCTTAAGTTGACGAGTACAACGACTTTCTTTCATGTAAATTACATATCCGTTCGCATTTAATCATGACCGCTTTGTTGGTAGGAAAATATTAACCAAAAATTCAAATAAACCTTGATATAAAAAAGATAATTTTTAAATTCTCCTATACTGGAAACTGTAAAAGCTCTGCGCGAGCGCAATGCAAACGTTATCTGATTTATAATTCGTTTAGTAGGCCGAAGTAAAGTGTGCCGGCAACACGGAACACGGACAATGCCGGTTTATGGCTCAAATAGCCGTTTATACAAGCAACTGGACCACTTGCAATCTCCATTTTGAATCATAGATACCTGCTATAAACATTTTGCAGGGTTAAATTCCCACAGTTGAACAGTAATGAAGTCAATTGCTATTTTTGTTGAAAATGGTGAAATTTGAACTAATAAATGTTCGAGTAGTTCTTTAAAATACCAAGCTTTCATATAAAAAGTATATGTAATAAACGTAAGCACCACTATTGTATTGGACAATAAGTACTGTAATGATAGTGTGTATGTTTAACAATAAATAAATGTATATAATGTATAGTAAAAGTACTCTTGTTGTCATTAGCAAGGGTGTTTTTCTTAGTTTACATACTAAACATACGAATACACTTTTTTTTGTCAGGGGAATATCATCGAATGACTTCATCCGCCCAGGGTCTGGCGAGAGAGAGTGTCAGACTCTTACTGACTAAAAAACCCCCCCGTTCCTTCCTGCTCTGGGCCGAGGCCGCGGTGACTCATTGAGCTTAACCCGCAATAATTTAACTAGTGCGATAGTAATTTCATTAGTAATTTTCTCCTCCTTACAATAATTTAAGATTAATTTTATCATATCTTTCAGCAGTCATGCGCTTTAAAGCATTTTGGCGAATATTTTTTTATTACGAATGTAATATTCGGTATTTTTTCCTTATATAAATATTTATTTATTTATATTAGTGTTTATTTTAAAATAGTACATTGTAATTTAAATTAATGCGTTTATTAGTTATAATTTTCGTAATCGTTTTATAATTTGTTACAAATAACTCTCACAGCCATCTAAGTTAAGAGAGTCGTTTGGTTAAATCACTTAGTATTGCGTTTAACACTTGCTTCGATTTCGAAATCATAAGCTATTAAGTTAGTATTACAGTTTAAGTTTGTTTACCTAGTAATATGTTCGATAATATTAAAAAAATCTCGTGTTTTATAATAAGACTCCGAATTAAGAAGACCATGTTTTAACCACCGATGCAAAGGAGGCTTGTTATAAGTTTGACGTGTCTTTATCGTTTTGGTGTACCTAAAAGATAAATTATTCGAAATAGTTTTGTAATAAAAACAAAAACATAGTATGTAGTTGTCTTGCGGCGTATGTAAAGATATAAATACTGTTACTTTAACAGAAGAAATAAAGAATTTTCACTGCAGTCCATTTTGGAAATACCGAATAGTTGCCTGGTTTAAGATAACCGTTTAAAACCTGCTCAATCTGATATTTGGGAAAAACTTATTACTTAACTGAAGTTTTAAACACGAAGTTTAAAACACGTATCTAGATAAACTACTCTCATAGGTATTATGTTTTCCTAGAAATATCTACGTATCAAAAGAAAAAGTTTCTCATTATTGTTACCTTGTCACTATAAACATAGTATTTTTTCAACTTTCCTATTAAACTATGTTTAATAAAAGTCACGCCATAATAAATTGCAATATGTGAAACTAAGTGTACTCCTTCTTAAAAGGCTGTCAACGCACCTGTGACTCCTCTGGTGTTGCGGATGTCTATGGGCGGCGCCAAACGCTTACCATCAGATGATCTGTCTGCTCGCTTGCCTCCTATTTCATAAAAAAAAGTTTGCTTACACGACCGATATGCAACTGGGTTCAATGACCTCTTCATTTAATTGTTGTAAAAAAACATCATTCCAAGCGATTAAGGTCTAATTTAGCCGTACGCTGTTTTTCCATCAGACCCATTATGTCGTTAAAGAAGAAATTAGCCTTAACTCCTTTGAGTGGATAACCACTATTTTAAATTGAAAGCGATTGACCGTGGCTATTCAATCGGACGTTCTTGGAAGCTGTTCTAAGGATTCTAGTCTTTAATACCTACTGGAGCTACGCCAACAGGAAAAGTTGTCAGTAGTAACATATTTTAATTAATCAATTTATTAAAGGCTTTTTTTTTTATGTAATAGGTCGGCAAACGAGCAGACGGATTACCTGATGGTAAGCAATCAGCGCCGCCCATGGACACTCGCAACGGTGGAGTTACGAGTGCGTTGCCGACCTTTCAGGGATTAGGGATTTGGAGATATAGGGATTGAGGAGGGATTGGGGAAGGGGAAGGATTGGGCCTCCGGTAACCTCACTCACACGGCGAAACACAACGCAGTAGTTATTTCACGCCGGTTTTCTGTGAGGCCGTGGTATCACTCCGGTCGAGCCGACCCATTCGTGCCGAAGCATGGCTCTCCCACACTTATTTTATGGCCATTTAGAGCGTTGGGTGTTCAATCGGTCAAATTTTAAATTTCGAATAGTTAAAATTGGCAGCTTTCTATGCATTTTCACTTAAATGTTGTACCGTTATGATTTTTGGCTATACGGCTATAAAATACGTCATCATTATTTATTGGAATGATCTTTTAGCGGCAGTATTTCTGAACCGACACGGTCTTCAAACCTTCAAGAAAAGAGCGCACTTCTTGCTAAAATGCCGTCAGCGTTCCTTTGGTGTTGTGTCGTAGATTATTCGTCGAACCATTTCCCTCCTATTCCATAAAAAAAAAACAAAAGTAATGAATGACAAGCACCCATTCTTTGTATTCACATCCACATCCACGCATCAAGTCTCTCGGCATATTAACAACCCAATTCAATTACGATCAATCTAGGAACCGAATTTTCAACCTACGTCTAGATTTTAATAGAATTGCAACAACTTGTAAATATTCATCAGGTAGTTAACAATTTTAGTTACCTGGAAGTAGAACTTGATTATTTTAATCTCAAACTAAAGTAAACTCTGTATAATATTTAAATAAAACCAGCTTCACAAATTTCTAGGCTCCTTTTAAGTCCTTTGAATTACTTATATAACAAACACGACTGCGTGCACCGTGTCGCGGGTCGATTCCCGCACGGAACAACTCTTTGTGTGATCCACAAGTTGTTGTTCCGGGTCTGAGTGTGATGTGTATGTGAAATTATATCTTTGTAAACGTGGCACAGGAGAAGATATTAACGTGGGCCAACGTTGTTTTAAAATAAAAACACTTTATTATAGTAAAACCAACTAGATAAAGTTTCTTCCTTCAATTAATGTTGACATAAATATTATGTATGATATCGGATACGGATGCACGGCTAGCTCACCTCGGCACAGCAAGTTGCAGGTTGCAATTATATGTGAATTTGTCACGAGGTTTCCGTGTGACATTCAATGCCACTGGCCCTATAGACATTATGATTATGTGTCAACATAATTCCCCTTGATATCACATACCTTTTGCATAAGTCATAATCAAGTTTTTAGTTGTAATTTCTATAAAGTAAACAGACTCGTGTAGCTGGTGCCATCTATCGTAAGATGAGGTAAAACATTCATCTATTTTTATGAAATGTTTTCAGAATCGACGATCGTCTTAGATCTTTTGTTTTTTTTATGGAATAGGTGGCAAACGAGTAGACGGATCACCTGTTGTTAAGTGATCAGCGCTGTTCATGGACACCTTTTTTTTTTTAGGAGAAAATCATCAAATGACTTCTCCCGCCCAGGGTTAGGTTAGACTCTTATTGACTTAAAACCCCCCCCCCCCGTTCCTTCTCCTGCTCTGAGCCGAGGTCGCGGTGTGCCCATGGACACCTGCAACACCAGAGGAGTCACATGGCAAACGTGCTAGTTGATGTAAATCTCGTAAATCGATCTGTTAAAATATTAAAAAACACCTTATATTGAATATTTTGTTAAGGAATTTAAGACAAAATCTTACTTATTTTGTGAACGTGTTACCTGCAAACAACTTATTCCAGCAGCTCGCAGTGATAATGATAATTTGCCCGTTTAAAGGTCTTTCTGGTGAGAAAATTACTTGGCCATTAAAACTATTACATAGTGAACATACTCGGTAACTACTCTATTTTGACTTATACACGTAAATTACCGAGACATGTGAACAAAATGCTGCTAATGGCATAACATTTAAATGTAGAATACTCATGTGCCATAGTGTCGTCTACCTAATCAACTAATATTATCCTTAGTATTGTGAAGAGTCAGGTTTCAGTACGTACGGACCGGCTCCATGGCTCACAGAAGTTCGCAATGTGATTTTTGGTCTGAGTGTTTTCAGACCTTCCCCAATCTCCAATTCTCAAATTCTTAACAAACCCAAAAAGGGGCGGCAACGGTCTTTTTAACTCCTCGGTCTTGAGGGTGGTACAGCTCCTAGGACAGTAAGATTTGTGTTGCAAATATTAAATAGAGCTTATAAGATTTATAAGTTTGTCAGGAGGTGTCTCAATCAATAAGAAGTAGTATTAGAAGTAGTTTAATTATTTTTTTTTTATATATTTTTTTAGCACAATGTGTGTTTAATAATGTTATTTACGAGATACGATGGGGCTGACATGGTTAGTGTCATAACCACAAGTCCCTAAAAAAATAAAGATTAAAAAAAACAATTAAATAGACATATAGATATATTAATTCAATACTAAATTCTTATCGTGTTACTATGTTATAAAGCGTTTGCAGGTAAACTTTAAAGTTTTATGTAGTCACTAAATAGTATAAAACAAAGTCGTTTTGTCTAGCCCTATGTATACTTAAAGCTTTAAAAGTACGCGACTGTATTTTGATGCGGTTTTTTTTATAGATAGAGCTATTCTAGATGAAGTTTTATATGTATAATAACATCTATTACCTACATAGTGGAAAAAATACTGTCAGCAGTGTAACCGTGCGAAGTCGGTTCGGGTCGCTAGTGTAGTATAAAACAAGAATCAAAACTGACTTACAGAATACACCGATAAACTAAGGCAATAGAATCTACATTAGCATATACATCGGCTACGATTTGTTCGAACAAGTTAGTAACAATAAAAGCAGCTATTTGCCTTAATCTGAATTTACGACTCTAAATACATTGTTTTAAAACCTATTTCCAGATATCTAAGGAAGTTTTATCATTTAGTTCGAATTAACGATACTTTAATACGTACTATCAAGAAACTTATGGCTTTTTGTGGTTAGCCGAATATGGCTGTATGGCGCCGCGGTGGTAGCGTACAAGTTTTGTTCGTAAATATGAGATTATAAGATCTATAACTAACAAGATATTGGATTCGGCTGCTAGTTTTGCCACTTTATTGCTTTTTGTTGACTCATTTTAAAGCTGTCCGTAGAGTGCATTTTTAGTTATATTCAGGTAAATTATTATTATTCAAAGCAGTGCTAACCAATATAAAGTTAACCTTATTGAGCGGCCAAGGGCGCACAGTCCGTTTCATGTCAATCTACTACTATTGTAAAGCTGAAGAATTTGTTTATTTCTTAAGACGTTGCTTCTTTGAACTGCTGGTTCTAATTAAATTATTCTTTTGGATAGTAGTAGGTATTTATCGAGGATGATGGCTTTTTCAAGGGGGGGGGGGAATAACAGGGAATTATACTCTATTATATATTATACTATAACTGTGAGAGAGTGGCAGACTCTTACTGACCAAAAACCACCCCGTTCTTTCTCCTGTGGTACATTATTGTGCTTGATCCTAAAGAAACATTTTGCTGCTACGAATAGGAGCCGGACAGCGGGTGAAACCACGTGGGGGAATGTAGTAGATATGGTAGTTTTTAGTCAGCTGAAGAAATTCTGTGTTGTATATCAGAAGCGATTCGGTTTGGAAAAGGCTTCGGTAATAATAAATAAGGAAATAGTTAATGCACAAGTATCCGTAAATCGAGTAAAGTTGGAAATGCCAAAGTTAATCTGGACGTTTGTTACTCTTTCACGCGAAAACTCCTGAACGGATTTAGATGTAACTTGGCACACAGAGAGATTAAAGTCGATGGGTTGCTTCGCTGGTCTTCAATAAAACTATTATTTCACTTTAACAGTATAACATTAATTGAATTAAAGCATCTGTCTTAGCAACTTGCATTATTTGGCAGGTGGCTTTCACAACACGTGTCGGCTGCGCATGCTGCGACAAAATGCTATTAATCTTAAATGGTTCAGGCTATGATTTAATGATTTGAACTAGATCATCCAATCGGATGCGGTAACTGTTCGTATAAATTAATCGATGTTTAAAAATGGAGCCGGTCATTAGCATTTGCAATTTTATTATCCTACATAACACAGGTTAAATCGTAGTTTAACTTTTTTTTTTTTGTGTTGGAATATTAAACTGGTAAGTACATATAATTATATATTATATCAAAATAATTGTTTAGGCTTTTAGTTTAAACAAAACGACACAGATACATCTGAAATGCTGTCTCTAGTAAGTACAATCACAACTATATCATTGACTACATACGAGTGTCGATTTGTCTCGTTTTTTTTTTTTATTAAGAGCTAGATTAAATTTATATAGGCTATCAGAAACTACCCGCGTCTTGGCCAAATTATGATTAAAATAAGCATAACGCTAGCTTTGCTAGTAGTAAGTGTTATTCCAAACTATAATTATTCTCTGCCAAATTTTATTCGGTTCTCTCTAGCAGTTGTTACACAAAAGAGTAACTAACATCCTTACATCTAAAATTAATTGAATGTTTAGCGTTTTTAATTTTATTAGGATTTGTATAAATACACCTAAAACCTTCCTTGAAAACAACACTATCCATTGGCGTAAATTGTGTTAAGATCCGTCAATTAGTTTTTGAATTGATCGCGTCCGTATGAATTTGCATGCATGTTTTTGGCGGAAGTTAATCCTTATATAAGTCCATTTAAGTATTATTACATAATGTATGTACGATTAGGAACGATGATCATGTTTTAAATTGACCTGGTCAATTTTGATGGGTGATAATCCGTTTGATGACTAATGACTGATCTTGTTATACACACCTGTTATGGTTAAATGTTATACAAACATAGATTTGTTATGTTGTCTTTAATTTATGCCTGATCTACATTGACTGGTTGCGTTCCTTTCTGTAACGATTATTTTGTGATTTTTAATTCATAAATCTGAAATGTAACTAGTTAAATCATTCATTCAGTTTATTTGGCATTGTATATTAAAACTGATTTGATATAAATATTTTACACCATGGCCCTAATATAAAATCTGCTGGTAAAAAACAACATTCGTGAGAATTAACACATTAAAATAATTTAAAGCACCGGAGGTCTGTAATGTTGCTCTAGTTTGTGAAGCCAACCGGCTGCGCAGGCGCACGCCTGTCGTACGAACAAGTCTGCCGTTGCGAAATGTGCCCTGGGCCGGGACTGCTTTGATAAAGTTGCTATTGCGAGTTTGTTATCTATAGAATTTATTCACTATAGAGTTTTGAAGGTCAAAAACATATTGTGCTGTTAAATACCATACAAGTAAAAAAATAAACATAGTTTTGGTATAGTTATGATGATAGCAAAATGATCTGCTTTTGTCGTTAAACCATCACTAAACAGTTGCACACCATAATTATTAATAGAAAACACTTTAGGCTTGCCTTTTAACATGTTTTCGAAAGAATTTCGTTCATTACTTATACCTATAGTTGCAATTCCAAAATATTTGTCTACAAATTGTTAGATTTTAATTATTGAAATGACCTCCTCGACCTCGTCGCTCGGCCGCCATGGCCGCAGTTTCATTACTTTTACGAAACGTCTAGTGAATTAGAGCAGTAATTTGTGTGTGCGACGTGTCCTAGGCGTATTAAGGCACAATAATATGCTTACGTAAATAGCCGGTTGAATATATTACCGTCAGTAGCATATGCTTTAAGATTACCCTTATCCATTTACTTTAGCAACTTTGTGTGAGAGAGAGAGAGAAACAGTTGCAAATCCGTAAGTGTTCTGCGACATCCAATCAATTGAGGAGAATACAACAAACCTTTGTAGACAGAGAAATCATCTAAAGGGGCAAGTGTCTCCTCTAAGGATGGGATTACGGTTAATAAGCATTATTACCAGTATCATAAATTTGTGCAACTCTGCTTACCCTTTTGGGTCACGTGGGTAACGCTTTATTCCACGTTGGTTGAAAGCCAGTTAAAAGTACAGTTGGTTAACCCATCACGTTTGAATACCCGTTAGATCGTACCCATTAAGTTACGCCTTACCCAAATTCCTGTCATCCTGTACACTTTTATAGGGACCTCTAAAATTGTAATTATAGTAGATTTTTCCTTTTTTACTCGTCCAATATTTTAGCAATTTACATACATACATATGAGTCCGGGAAAGGAAAGTCATCTCGTGCCTTTTTTTCGTGAGGGGAAAATCATCAAATGACTTCTCCCGCCCAGGGTCAGGCGGGAGGGAGTGTCAGACTCTTACTGACTAAAAACCACCCTGTTCCTACTCCTGCTCTAGGCCGAGGTCGCGGTGCCTCATTGCGCTTACCCCGCAACCCCGGCTGAGGAATGCCAAATAGACATCAAATAACTGGGATGACTATACAACTTTTTAAAAGTCTATAGGGTAAAATAGCTATACAAATAAATATAGCAATGAAGTTAAAACAATCATGATGATAAATAATAGGTTTTGCTAAAGCTTTGTAAATGCTGTGGGGTCTCTGCTTGAAATAGCCTGCAATGCGAGGGAATGCGACAAGGTGCGCCGGATATCAAACCGGCACAAAAACTGTCTCACGACCGTTTTCTAGATAACTAGTACATGTCTGACGGATACCAACACTATAAAAAACTGATAGGGTACTTGGACTTCGATTAATGAGTATGCAGACGATGTTTTTTTGCAGTACTTGTAACAAATACCCAATTATTTTGTTATTAAAAAAAAGTGTCGCAAATGATTCCAAGTTCGGAATGTAGGTAGGTTTAAAAAATAGTTTTGCGGTGTCTTCGTATCCTTATTTGTAAAGTTTTATGAAGCGTTGTTTTCATTTGTGTTTTTGTTTAAGCCCAATTCATTATTCATCTCTTTTAATATTATTCGATGCACTCGACTTGGTATCGATACCCATATTAGAATAATGTTTTCATACCATAAAGCTTTGTGTGGCAATGTCGGTTACTTACCACCACCAATAACCTGAATCGTTAAGCCGACCAATAGATACGTAATCACCATGGACTTGTTGACAATCGATTGTAGGGCTGCTGTTTTACTTTTTAGTAGTACCATTCAGCTAACTGAACATTTTATGATTATCCATTTGATACCTGATGTTACATTTACAGTGCTTTATAAACTTACACGTTACGAAGTGATCTTTATATTTTCGTCTTTTTTCTACGAAACAGTATAACCACACTCTATTGATTTATTAATTTAAGGCGACTTTAAACTCGGTACTTAATTGACACTCAAATAAAATACTGCTTACTGGCCCTTATTTCTTTGTTGATGATACTAAGAAATCATGGTCAATCTCTAGTTCTTAATTTGCCAGTAAAGTACTTACTTACGGTACTAGTAACAAGATTCTGTACTTTTGGTAACCCCCTTCTTTTCAATATGAGGCGTGACATTTCAATTAGACATATGACAACCCTGTAATGGCGGCGTGGGCGCGCGTTTATACGGCGTGCGCCGGCGCATGTTGCAATGCTTGCGAAACTGTCTCAAATAATATAATGCTTCTATGGTCAGCCGTTGTACGACCTACCATTGTGTTTGCTTCACAATATCCGCTCTTCCTACAGAACCATGGATTTAATATATTTTTATTAATCTTTGCCTTATTCAAATGGTTTTTATTTATCACAAAATTGATAATTGAAGGATTTTAAATTCTGTGTAGTAGTAATTTAACCACTCTATAACGAGGCGTAATATATTTTCTATGTATCCGTGTAAACAGATTACACGCAAATATAATTTCAAATTGTGACATGTGGAATGCGTTTGCGCACGACCACGACCCTTGCATTCACTCACGCGCAGCCGACACGTCGACCTCTTATCTGTTATCAAATGATCTTGTTCAACGGCTCGCTATTGTCGGCATAACTTGGTTTGTTTTATAATTAACTCTGAAACTGTACCGTTGGCACAGTGGCTGGGCAACATGTCGCGGGTTCGATTCATGCAAGGAAATCGTGATCGTGATGTTGAACGTTTTGTGTGATCCACAAATTATTTTTTCAGTTGTGACTGGCTTGTGTTTGTGGATTTGTATGTTTATAAATGTACCTACGACACAAGTGAAATTATAGTGTAGGGCAACGTTTTGAAAAAGAAATTTGCATTTATGAAACCTTGTCTCAGTCTTCAGAGTCCCATCCATTGACTCCTAAAGATTTTGTTGTGAAGTGATGACTTGCTCTTTAATTTATCGCAAATAATAAGAATGTTAAAAATTGGTACATCTTTAAAGTTTTCTTCGTCTTGAAACTATTGGTGTTCTACTGTGTCCTAGTGCATAGCTTAATTTATTGTTAGAACCAACACTTTTATACACAGAATATAACGCATATGCAACTCCTCCAAAACAAAAGCTCCCCACAATCGAATTAATAGAAATATTTCAGTCACGAATGATTGATTCAGTTCATTGATGCATATTTTTTGCCGATTACGTCTAATTCGATTTAGCGGCCATGTTGCTTTACATGGTCCGCCATTATAAATTTAAATACATCGGTCATTACCGATTACTCGTATTAGATTTGCAATTTGATTATGCGTTATTACGAGAATAACTTATGTCGATAATAGGTACTTGCGACGACCAATTTCTGCTGCAACACCCTTGAACGTTGCAATAGTGAGGTAATGTGATGTATTTGCTTTTAGTATATTTTGTTCTACAAATTAGAAAATAGGTAATTCTTTCTGGACTTGCTACGTTACTAAAATACAGTTTATATTATATTTCGGTTCTGATTACTTCTGATATTATATAAGTACTTGGACACTATCGTACAAGCCAAATTTTTTACCTTTCCATTGAGAATTAAATCTCGTACAATTTTACGGAGTCTGCATACATACATACATAGGCTTACAGCGAACATTATCTAACACTCTCATTGCGTATTATAAAACAGACTCACTTCCCGCTGTATGTCCCTATGTATGCTAAGATGTTCAAAACTACGTGACAAATTAAGTTGCGTTTTTTAATAGATGGAATGATTGAAGAGGAAAATTCAAGTGTGTATTTTATTAAGATTTACAGAAAGCTAGTAAACAATGTACGTAATAAAATTTTATGCTTGCTTAAATGAAGTTTTAATATCTAACGTTACTCTTTAATTGTTACAGAAAATTTGGCACCTTCGGAACTGAAGAAACTTAGGAATAAACAAAGAAAAGCAAAACGCAAAGCTGAACAAGAAAGTGCGCTACAGGCTCAAGTACAGGTAAACTTCATTATAAAATATCAATCTTACTCAAATATTGTCATTAAGAAGTAACAACTCATAAAGAGCTTAGATACTGATCAGATAGTGAAAATATCTAGATGGTTTCTGACTCTATGGAGGAAAACTTTCCATTGTTTAATATGGCGCAAATAACAATAATATTCACTTTTATTAAGCCTTGATCCAAACATCAGACCCTTTGGTCCTGGTTGAAGGTCCAGCTGAAGTAGGCAACTAACTTGGAAAGTCATCCAAGGTTGTGTCACGATATCTGCAGATATTTGGTGCAAACAATTGAAGATCTTTTAAAGAAGGAATGTTACGAAGACTGGCACATGTTGTTGGATTTTTTGTATTTCAGGTGAAACGTGAACAGCATCACAAAGCAAGGCAGCAGCAGGAGCAAGGTGATCCCGAAGCGCCACAGTTAGACGAACTCATACCTGACAAATTAGCCCGGGTGAGTTTCAATATTCCTACAAATATATTGCAAAATACCTGATTTCTGTTTTCGCCTAGGTGGAAAATCCAATCCAATCAAAAGCTTGTGCCAACTGTAAATTGTTGAACGTGTACAAATGTACATTTATTCAGAATCTTAAAAGTAGTTTTACAAATTACAATTTTCCAATGTAGAAGTTTAGTGAACTTAATTATAACTGACAAATAACAAAAACAGTTTAACTTCATATATGTAACAATTACTAACAAACAATAAATACACTACAAAATAATACACATTGCACAATCCTTGTGAACTCAATCATGGTACAACTAAACAAGTCAAACTGATGTGACATTATGTAAAAGTAACAACATTTTAAAGTAACTTATCCCAAAACTTGACGTCGATATCAGTAAACAAATGACTACTAAATATGCAAAAGCCAAGTCGCCATTTGATTTTGGGAAGAAGACAGCCCTACTATTAGACGATCGAGTCCAACTATTATTTTATTTTCGCTTAGGACCATATTCGATGTATGTTTGGTGGTTCTTGTTTTGCCGACTACTAAACCAATGACAATTTCTATTTGTGCGTTAAGTGTACCATATGCCCTTGGTTAACAAGTCACTCATGAACCTTAATTGTGCCTGATAACTAAGATTGTATCAAAGTCAATAATAGCTTGTCAAGTTAATAAAACGCAAATGGCTATTGTCCGTGTGTCCGTGTTCTGATTTCACTTCCTACGGAAGTTAATATCAAATGACAAATGCTCGATTAGAATGTTGTAATTAAATTCTTCGTTAGATAGCGACAGTGAGTTGCCAATATTTTCATGTTACATATTTTTATCAGGTCATGTCCTTTTTATCAGGGAAGTATTAGCTAAAGCAATAACAGTCTCTGAGTGCTAAAACTTGGATTGCTTGAGATTTTTAATAGGAGTTTTCCTTAGTCAAAAATAAACTCCTTCAAGATTTCAATACAAATAAATATTAAAAATGATTCGTACATTCATTGAAAAAAGTATGCTGTTTGACCCGAAAATATGATGACGTCACTTTTTTGTATTAAATACCAAATATATAGAACAGTTTCGTTTTTGATATTTCAAAAAGTTTGTTGATTGCAAATATCACATGAACCTTTTTAAATGTAAATTTGAAAGTTAAAAAAATCACCGTCTTAATTAAGTTCTTCAGAAAGATATTACCATTGACAATGAAACATCATGGCTGTCAGTCACGCGGCGTACGAGCTCCGATCGTGATTTACTTGTTAGCACACACTGGCTCATGTCAATTAAACGATGCACTTAATTTATTAGGAATCGGTTGCATTGTTGATCGGAAGTTGGACTTGTTGACCATGGCTTCGAATAATCTTCTAGTGTCGTTTTTAAGCGCCTACTAAAGCGCCCACTTCTTACACATGAGGGTTAGTAACCTGGCAAGTACCTATGACAGTTTTTCCGAGTTATATGTACTTTTTATGATTGTTTGGATACCACTGACATTCGGTGAAGGAAAATATCGCCAGGAAGCCTTGAGCAAATGTGTGATTAATGGCATCGAATCTTCTCCGTGCGAGAAGAGGCCCTTGCTCAGCAGTGGGCACTTATAAGCTGACGATGTGATGTGTGTTGCGTGTCTACTTTGACGTTTCAAAAGTACATATTTGTGGTTTATTTGGAATAAATCATTTTTCAGACTTGGACTTTGTTGGTTTGTTCTATACAACAGAACTTTTAAAAGCATTCTTGGTTTATTTCGAGTTTATGCAAATGTTAAAACTATAAAATTAAAGTATAGTAATTTCACTCATCATCATATTCCTGATGTGCTTATCCTGACTATGAGACCTGTAGGTACCTGGTAAATATCCCAAAAAAGCAACGATAAGTTAGTTCATAGAGCGACCTTTCACGTCAGACAAATTATATTTGTAATTGACGCTAATTGACGCGGTGGCTAGGCAACTGGCTGCCGCCAACGTGTCGCGGGTTCGATGCCCGCACGGAATAACTCTTTGTGTGATCCACAAATTCTTGTTCTGTAAAACGCACCGCACGACACGTTTTTTTAAAAGAAAAAAGTTAAAGTAAATGGATCAGGGTCTTTTCAAGCTATTTGGTATGGGATAAGTCGGCAAATGAGTAGACCAATCAGCCCCCGGACTCCCATATACTAGAGGGATTAGGGGTGCGTTGCCAGCATTTAGGGGATTCTACGATTATGGTTTCGAAGAATTTGACTTTTCTACAACAAAGTTATTCTGTATATGAGGTTAACCTAATTTAAAATTTAACTGTTTCAGGCGGAGGACCCGTTAGAACAAGCGCTCAAGTTCCTACAACCACTAAGAACGCTCGCCGCAGATAGAATAGACACACATTTAATGGCCTTCGAAATTTACTTTAGAAAAGGTAACATGTTATTTTTGACCGACTTTCGGAAGAAAGGATATGCTGGGATTACTTCGGATTATTTAACAGCCATAATATTATGTTTCCAGACAAGCCCCTACTGATGCTGCAGAGCATAAAGCGCGCCCACCGACTGGACCCGGAACACCACCACCTGCACGACTGCCTGCTCCGGTTCCAGGGCTGGCTGGACGACAACCTCGCCAGTCTCAACCCAGCAGTCGCCGCTGTCATCGCCAAGGAGATTGAACCGGTAACATACACACCAAATTACTTTTGCCGCCTGATTTGTGAGGGAAAATTATCAAATGACTTCTCTCGCCTAGGGTGAGGCGAGAGGGAGTGTCAGACTAAGAGTGCAGTTCCATTGAGGCGGAGCGGAGCAGAGCGGAGAAGAGTTGTGCCGCGATTCACCAATCACGCCTCAATGGAACTGCACCTTTACTAATCAAAAAACCCCTGTTCCTTATTTAGGCTGAGGTCGCGGTAGCTAATTGAGTCTCGAAAAGAAGTATCAGACTGTTACTGACTTAACCACCTCGTTCCTTAATAAAACATAAGACAACCTTAACTCTTTAATTAGTACTTTCAACTAGGTTCACATCTAACGGAAAATGCATGGAGCATGTCAGTGATGTACAGTTGATGCAATCACGTAGTATCGGTTAGGTGTGAAAGATTAAATGATTTTAATGGCAGCCTGTTCCTGCATCGCAACTATGTCCAACTAGGTACCTCGCTCTCAGTCAATTGTTTTGTTTCCCAACCGCTAAGGCATTGAATGGGTTGCTATATCCTGATTTGATGTGCTTAATTTTTTTTTTCAATGAAGTTATTAAGTTATTTTATCAAATATTATTTATTTTTTCTTTTATTGTTTAAATATATTTGGTTTTGCTATTCTATTTTCAAACATATGGAATAATGGAGTAACTTCTGTTCCCAGATGGTCCGCGGGCGCAGTACGGTGGAGATGGCGGAGCAGCTGGTGTCGTCCCCCGCGGCGGCGCGCTGCCAGGCGGCCGCGCTCAGCGGGGCGCGCGCCCTGCGCAGGCACCTGCCCGCCCGAGCCGACCATGCGTTAAAACTCGCCACCTCGCTGCAATACCCCGACCTCTCCATACAGGTACCCTACTCGGATCCTAATAATTGTTATTATGTTCTAATCATCAAAAGACTTCTCCCGCACAGGGTTGGGGCGGAAGAGAGTGTCAGACTCTTACTGACTAACCCCCTCCTCCCATTCCTTCTCCTTCTTTGGGCCGAGGCCGCGATGCCTCATTGCGCTTGCCCCACAACCCAGGTTGAACATCAACTCTACAGGGCCCCCTCTGTGGATCTATCGGCCCTTTGAGGCGCGCGGTACGCTACGCACCGTACGCTCGGGACTGTTCTGGTTGGGCGGCGACCACACTCGTCGCCCGCAGACCCACGATTACGGTGGGCGGAGATCTTCTCTCGATGTTCTTATTTAACAACTTTTCTATTATAGAGTGACTGGTAATTAGTGACCCATATATAAACACGAGATTGTACTCATGATAACAAACAATTTACCCAAAGAATCTTTTTTTAAATACTCAATAGTTTTATTTTTATTACTACTTCTAACAAACTTCGCGCGCCCGCTCATTTGTCAGCGGCGAAGGCCCGCGCGACCACGTTTCGACTTTGCACAATAATTTTGTTATTGTAATAAAAATAAAAGTATTGAGTATTAAATAAAATCTTGTTAGTATATCATTTTCAAAACGCAAAATTTTCAATTTCCAGGGTTGTGTAGACGTGTTGGACAGTCTACGAGACGGTGACTTCGGGCCGTGTGAGAAGGAGATAGAGCAATATATCGAGGCGTGTCGCAAGAAGTTCCCGTACGCCATCGCGTTCAAGCCGGCGTCCGAGCTGAGCGCGCTGGCCGACGACCACGTGGCCGCGGACGAGGCCCCGCTACAACCGAAAGAGATCGCCGTCAACAACTGAGCACTCCGCGCGCCACTCCTTCTTCGAAAACGGTCTAAAACTCTATATCAACCGTCTAAGCCTTCGATAGTTTCAAACCTGAAACGTATCTATCGATTTGAACTCTTTATAGACCAAAGTCCTAGCTGACAGCTTTGTGTTCCGCTGACAATGTCACTGTAAATCCCTTCTAACGTAGTGATAGGTTTTTTATTTTAAATTAAATATTTTTACATCAGTCTCACTTGTACTGATTCACAACCCCAATAACTCCAAGATTACAAATTAGTGTTTAAGTACCGAATTTGAAACGCTTTTTGATATACTGAAGGTGCCGAGATTGTAAGCAATAATAGTGTAACGTGATTAATTAGTAATGCTACAAACAGTCGAAGGAAACAATCGTTTTCAGCGGAATATAAAGACACAACTATCCAATTAATCAGAACATATTGACTGACGGATTTCGCTGCTGTAAGTCTTAATCTAGATGTACTTTTATAAATTAACGTGTTCTTATTACCATGACGGTAATCCTGATTCGAAATTTATAATATTGATATTAATTAATAAATTAGAATGGTCATACTCAAATCAATAGTGACACTTGAAGTACGAAAACCAATCTTACTGCTACGGAATAGAGACTGCCAAAGTTTGCGTGTGCTGGAAACATTATATGGATATTTTTATATAGCCAAATTTGTTATTAGCCAAGTTTTATGTTGTTTTTAATAGGAATAAATTTGTAAGCAATAGAAGTGTGCCAGTAATGATCGAATTGTTTGTACGGCGACATGATACTGCTGATATCGTAATGAGAGTTACTGTTTTCTTGAATCACTAGATGGCGTTTATGTAGCATAAGGTTTTAAGTGTTGACTAGGGACGGTATCACAGACAAATATTTTTTTCCACTAATAAATGTTTTTAAGTATCTAAAAATGATAGTATCGTTGATCGATTTATTTTTAAACTTTTTTAATTTGGCGCATAACATTTGTGAAGTCACAATTTAGTAATCTTATGCAAAATGAATAGAAATATTCTATTCTTAAGTTAAAACATAAAAAATATTTGGCTAGTTATCATAATACCTGTTAATGTCAACATTTGAAAACCCATTGCTTTGCTAATTATTCTCTATTAGACGAACAGGTGGAACATTTAGCGCCATCTGGTGATCAAAAATGGGACGTAGGGTACTTTTCATCACCACAAGATTTTAATTAAAATTATGACGAATTAAACCTTTGTGGTTAATAGGTCAAAATTATTTTTACCTAATTATTAATCAGATCATTTTCATTCTATTAGGTATATCAAATAAAATGTAAAGATACCTGTATGTTTTTAGAATAAAATTGGTATTGGTTATTGTTACAATCACTGTCACTGGGAATCATTAGTTTATTTTCTTATTCTGGGCATACTTAAACATTTACGTAAACCAGTGTTACTATAAAAATGTTAGTAAATCAAAATTTTACGTGTATTTTACTTCTCTTCATGTTATTTTTAATGAAAAATTAAGTAATATATGAAAATTTTTATCTAACATACTCTAAAGTATCGGCTTTCTAAAGTTAACTATCTCTCTAGCAAAGAAAGAGTCACTTTTTTCCAGTTTTCTCCTACTTTTTTTCTAAAATCTCCTATGATAAGAACTTGCTATGCAACTTGCATAGCTTGTATGGAATCATAAAAAATTGGTGAATTGGTCCCGCCATTGTTGAGTTATGCGGTAGCCAACATATTTTGCGATTCATTTTTACATATTTCTTATATCTATAATAAAAATCAATGTCACTTTTCGTTGTAATGTTATAACTCAACAATGCCTTAACCGATTTGCCTAATGTTGGTCTTGAATTACTCGTGGAAGTATAGAAAAGGTTTGCACATTGAAAAATTTAAAAAAAATGGATACAGTGTAACATCGACATTTACGCGGGCGACCGATTATAATGGCATTGTAGCATGTCTAAAAGTCCAGGTACTACAGTCTGCAGTAACTCTCATTACCATACACGATTATATTCTTTAAAATCAATGTTCATCCTCAAAAATCTAAATGACTTATCTCAAATTGTTTTAAGGCAGTGAAGTGGTTCATTAAATCTTTTCTCAACATTTACTTAGCAGTAGAATAGATCGCGGCGATGGAACACTTATAGTTAACTTTATTCTTATTGTTATAATATGGTAACTGATGGAATCTTCATGTCGACGACAGCTGTAACATAAAGACGTAGGATAATTCGTTTACTGACTCCAGAGTCTCGATTCACAATGAAAGGTGTGGAAAACATGTTCCTTTATACTGTTTAGTTTGTAAGACGGTTTCTTATGTTTTTGTTTACCATAAAAACTTTCAACGTTTCAGATAATTTTAAACTTCATTAAATATCCCTAAAACCCGTAATATCACTGTTTAAAAGTTGCGAATAACACAAAATAACAATAGTTGTTACATGTTTTGTCTTATGATGACTTACTGTTAACAGTTATATCTAGTCCTGTGATCCTGATAAATGCCTCGTATATTATGGCAATCCTTAGCAACATATAAATTCTTATGGATGTATTTTTACTAATTAGCAGAATTAATGTAATATTCGGTTTGGAATGTCTGTGAAGTAGCATCCAGTGGCCTCAAGTGTTCAACAATATTCACGTACCGACTTTAACATTAGGGTTTAACTTTTCAAATAACGACTGGTTTTAATGTAATGCCGTGTGGCAACATTGGACAAACGCCGCACTGTTACCCCGCGGCCGGAGCGCGGAGGTTACGCTTGTAAATAATTCTTACTTTTAAGTTTGTATTGTACAATATCGTTAGTTCTGAGGTCTTTGTTGACTTGAAATTTATTGACTGCATGCGGCGCTAAGGTTTTTAAAATGTAAACGTACGGATGGTGACCATGGACTCAAATTAAACCAACACCTGCATTGGAATTAGTTTATTTTTCTTTTTGTAGATATGTGTAAAGTTTGGACAATAATTATATAATTGAATACTCCAAATTGTAACAATTACATGCACTCGTGTTGTGTTGAACACACTTGAACAGTTCATTTCTTAGACAACATTCACTGAATGAAATGTTCAGCTTAACATAAATATTGGATTACAGTTGTCACATAACACTTCCCCTACCTCAGTGTAGGCCAGATCTGAATAAAAATATTTATTCTTTTCCAAGTCTCATTTATTTGTCATGATTATACAAAATGTATTTTATTCAGTGGATGTAGTTGTATGTTTATTTTACACAAAATATGTTCAATTAAGTTATAATAAATCACCGTGTTGATTTTAATTGTATTCAAGTGGTGTGATCGGAGTATCTGTAACCGTGTCATCTTGTACATAAAGTAATAAAATTTTATTTTACAAATTTATTTACATTTCTGTTTCATTTATCAGCGTAATGCTGAATTCGTCACTATATAAAAACTTACTTCATTAAATATCACATGTTGTTTTTAAGTACCTAATGCATATAGCACCTGCATTAATTGTACAAAACAAAACAAAACTATATAGAACAATATAAAAATCAAGAAACGTTGGTATTTAGCGGCGGCGTCAGGTCGATCACGATGGTTTTATGTTCGCTTTTAAATACCCTGAAAAGAAAAATACACATATTGGAAATGTAAGAATATAAAAACAGATAGAGTATAGGCTGTCTTGAATCATACTCACTCGAACTGAACATAAGCCTCTTCGAGCATTTTCTTAGAAGCAATGTACACATCCTTGTTCGGGCTTTTATCATAAATATAATAAACTTTCGTGATACCAGACTGAATGATCATCTTAGCACATTCGTTGCATGGAAACCGGGAAACATATAGAGTGCAACCCTTCAAATCTATAATGTTCCTGTTCAGGATAGCATTCATTTCTGCATGGCAAACTGAAACATTGCAATTGAATTTTATTAAAAGGCACCTTTATACATTTCTATCGAATTCTGTACGATTCGAGCGGCCTTTACTCGATTATATTCATAATCGTTTCTGACCTTGCCAACAGTCGATTTTTAATTCGTTTGTTCTAAGCATTTAAGTATACCCACAAGCGGCCGGCAACACGCGTTGTTACGAGTGTCGATGGGCGGCGCTAATTGCTTACCATCAGGTTATCCGTCTTATTCGTAAGTATGGAGGAACCTTCATTAAATACTGTAGAAATTTAGTATCGGCATTGCACCCGCGCGAAGCCGGGTCGAGTCGCTAGCAAAAGTAAATGAGAATGAAAGCTAATAAAAAAGTGAAAATGTTACCATAAAACTGTTTGTTATTTTTATCCCATGGAAATGTATCGTCGGAGCATCCATTTGGCATTCCATTATATCTGTAATTTAATAATAAAATGAACATACTATACTTAAATGTTACTCTCAGTACCTGGATTGGGTTAACAGAACCTTGGGTTCAGTTTCTGAATGGTACTACTTGTTCAACATTGTATTTTAGATCCATTTTCTAATCATCTAGCATTATATCATTAGCAATTAAAAGTAAGGTACAAACAATATCAAATAAATCGTCAAACTTTTTTTAAAGGAATTACCTAATTCTGAATATAAATCCTTACCCAATGCCAACAATTCTGTTTTCACGGTTCACAATACACGCTCCGACCTGACAGTTAGGATCCTTGCTGCGTTTTGCTGCCAATAAAGCAGTTCCCATAAAATAGTCTTCCCATTTTAAATAACCTTCTCGTTTTGCAGATTTGGGTGGCCTGCTGTAAGATTTAATAAGTATGGGGTGTAATATCTATAGTAAGAAATATAATTAATATTATGATAGTAGCACCTAATTATAGTTTATGTCATGTAAATAGACTTGCTACAGAGTGGACCCACTAAGTTACATACACACAACATAATTTTATCTGATGACGGACAGTTCAGGAACCCAAACATTTCATCCCCTTTCATAATTCTTTAATCCTGAAATCCCTAATAATTCTTAAAATAGACACAATGGACTTTAACCCCTCTGTTGTGTAGTTGTCTATGAGTGGCACTGATCATTTACTATCAGGTGATACACATACTCGTTTGTGGCCTTATACCATAAAAAACTATGCTTTGTGTCCTGTGGAGTCACTTGCATATATCTTGTGCTTATGTAGCTCCCCAATAGTGAATGAATTTTTCAAATTTGGCAAGTAGTTTCATAGCCTATTCCAAACAAAGAAAGAAACAATTAAATCTTAACTCTTTATAAAGTTATTATTATTATATATATATATATATATATATATATATATTATTAATACATTAACTAGGTAAATAAGGCAACATAAACAATAAACATAGTCAAACTAAACAGTTATCACGTAGATAACAATAGTTTGTAATACAGTTGTATACTCTTCATATTTACAAATTAATTATTGTAAATAGGTAATGATGACTGCTTGTCATCAGGCGGGCTACAACCTTTTTTTGCATTTAATGTAGTTAAAACATTACAACACAACATAAAAACACTAACTTTATAATTTTCTTAAAAGTATGTATTAAACAGAATTAAAATAAATATTTTATATGTATATGTTATTTATTAGTAAAGGAAAAGAATATGTCATTTAATAATAGCTAAGAAATTGGAAAAAAATACCACACATTCAAAATTTAATGCATATGAAGGAAATGGGTGATAAATATACTATTTTTTGAGTTTTTTTTATAAGATAGGTACTTAGTTACATTTTGTTTAGCTAATATTTTCATTTTGGATTGTTTCTCTATAACCTCAATTTGGCCTTTTTTATTTAAAAGGATCATAATACAATTTTTCTAGTAAACATTATGCTAGTGGTAAAAAATAATAGTGTAAAAAATATGACAATTACGGGTTAATTATTAAAAATAAGACATTTTAATAAAATTTTAAACTGGTTTTGCAGATTCCTAACCTGTAGGCTGCACTTAATTTTGTAGCTATAGTTATATATTCAAGAATAAAAAAATAAAACAATTAATTACTAACATATTTAAGTAACATAGTATTTAAAACCAGAAAAATAAATTGATTAATAATTAACCAAACCACGTATTACACAGTTAACGTTCGAGTTCTAGATTTTGAGTTTAAACCAAAAAAGTATAATTTCCAAATTACTTACGGGGATTCCTCTAAGCTCATTTCAGCAGTCAAAGTGTTTATATCCATTGTAAGCACTATTTCAGGTTTATTTATACTACACAGTTTAGGTATGTTTACGCCATTGGGTACTTGTTGAAGCTCTGGATTGATAAGCTATCTGATAAAATGTTAACGGAGATACTTGACACTTTTCATTGTCAAATTTGCCTGTGACATATAACCATTGACATAGGAAATATATGGACTTGAAATACCTACGAAAAAAAGGTGCCTACCTACAATCAAAAATGTCGCATAAGATGGCTGCCGTTGCTAGGGTTGTGCCGACTAAGTATTTAACGAGTATCGATACAATTTGAGTAAAAGTTCTACGTAGGTATAGTTTTAGGGATTAGCCAGCTGATTAACGGTATTTTTTTATGGGAAATCATCTAATGTCATCTCCGGCCTTTTTCGGGACAGACCGTTACTGACTAAAATCAACTCCTGTTCCTACTTTGCCGTCGGCCTAGCTAGAGCCCGGAACCCGGGGTTAACTTGGTCTCTTGATTGGCTAATGATTTTCTCAAGTCGAATTTGTATTCATATAATTCTACGTAAAGCGTCTTTTAAAAAAATAGGACTGTGTTTATGAACAGCATTTAATGGAATGGTGAAATAGAAAAAGATAGTGTTTGTTAAATGTTTATCTTTAAATATGTGGAAAACCTGTGGGTATTGTGAAGTGCTCGCGCACAATTTCGGCGCGTCTGATTAAACGATGATATCTTCGAAACTACGTTAGCACAAAATAGATATGTAGTGAAGTCAATCTTATTGTATGTATCTCACTTTTTATTATTACGCTTGGTGGTCGCACTGGGATCGTCGCCAACGCCGCTCTGTCAATCGCGCCCGTATAATCATAAAACATGATAATTTGAACTTCTACTTATGTAACTAAAACCAATACCAAAATACTGACGCCTTACTTTAGCGTTACACAAAACTGCGGAAACATCCATTGTTAAAATAGATTATTTAGTATATGTTGAATTTTAAATGGGAGATTATATCGATACTTTTGTGAAATGGTACGTAACTATGCCATATTGACATATTATTGTAAACAACAATTTTTACTAAAACTGTCTCACAGACAGAAATAAAAGTAAATATATATACTTTGGCAATAGATTAAAGTATCCGTGACATTTTTTTCTATCTATGTGGATTATTCTAAGTTATATTTGATGAAAACTGTTTACTAACCTATACAAAGACAATTGAGGTTGATTTTCGTTCTTTTTTGCACCACACTGCACAATGCAACACACAGGCATATTGTTTTTTTGTTTCACTATATATATTTGAAGTTTAAAAAAATGGTTCTTTGTAATTTACTGAAAAACCGCAATAACTTAAAACATAAACAACCGTTTGACAGGACAACTACCATGAAACTCAGGTACTCTGAGCGCTTAAGATGGCGGACATGGCACTTACCTACAACTTTGCTAATGTCAAAATGATTTGTTTCCATATTAAGCAACAACTTAAATATTGTTGTCCCTTTTGTCTAATACAATTATTGCCTTAGAAAGAGTGAGAATAAATGATATTTCATAGTTTGTTTCATATTTCCCTCATATTTGTATAAGCATGTATACTTCTATAGTAACACGGCGCCTCTATATATTTTCTATCTCAATGCATATAACTCACCATAGAGTACACTAATCCACAGATATTGTACCGCTTGGCAAAAAAAAGTGCTAGCTGTCATATTATGGCCACCCCAAATACTGTAGTTTACTGGTCTTGATACTTTTGACATTTAATTATTATTTTTAAAGTGATGGCAGTAATTTTGAGTACCATATTTTTGCTGCGTAGCGTGTTGCGGGTTTGATTCTCGGAAAAAAATATTTGTATGACCAATAAGTATTTGTAAAGGGTCTGGGTGTTGAGTATGTTAGTTTTCAGTTTATAAAAACATCCAAGAAACGTTATTAATTCCATTTTAACCTTTTAATCATGGTAATTAGAGACACAATAACACAAACTACTCGTTCCTTATCGGATATATGTATGATTCAACTAAGGAATTATACAACATCATTTTAACTTATAATATTCGATTCTTAAGAATTATAATATTTTCTAAGAATTACCTTAATCTGTTACAAATATGCTCAACGTGCTTGCTCCAGGTAAAGTTGTCTATCTCAAGTAACAATATGGAAGCTACTACGGGGACATGTAACTTCGTATAGAAACGAAGACAGTTACATCATCGTACGGGGTACGAATGTCATGCAAAAATTTATGGTCATGAGTAATATTTTGGGGATAATAGCATTTTAAATAAATATGGCGATTTTATTAGCATTGAGTACTAATCCAAAATCGTGGCACAACTTTAATTTGAAATTAGATATAGCAAACGATCACAAGCAATTTTTGGGTCCTTATTCGCCGCTACTAAACAAGTGTCATCTGCAAATTGGTAGCATGTACTGTGTTCTATACAGGTACAGCTACTTATATCATTCACATAGGTCAGAGGGGAAAGGGTCCCAAGAAAGACTGGAGCTTGTGGTGTGCTCTGTAACTTTAATTGTGTAACATGAAAAGTCGCTAACATTTTTTTTAAGTAATAGGTCGGCAAACGAGCCTACGCATTACCTGATGGTAAGCAATCAGCGCAGTCCATGGACACCCGCAACGGAGAAGTTATGATGCTTTGCCGACCTTTTAGGTATTAGGGATTGAGCAGGGATTGGGGGAAAGATTAGGCCTCCGGTTACCTCACTCCCACAGCGAAACATAACGCTGTGGTTGTTTTACGCCGGTTTTTAGTGAGGCCATGGTATCACTTCGGTCGAGCCGGCCCATTCGTGCCGAAGCATGGCCCTCCCACACTTTTATTTACAGAAAAAAAATATTTATAAATATTTACAGTATTACAGTAAACTTTCTGTTATGAAGGTAGCTCTCGCATTATGAAGTAATGCGAGAGATGCAAAGGGCGTATAGGTACCAAATTATATATGACATTTTTATGATTTTAACGTTTCAAAAGCTAGAGAGAAATCAATAAATAAAGCAATTAAGTACTATTTTTTTCTGATTAAGGTATATTTTTAGATAATAAGTCCGTGCTTCTTTTGCCCGATTTGATTTGGGTTAATCACTGAATATTCTTTTTAAAACTTACAGATATGTTGGCTTACACATTTTACAACAATTTTATCTATAGAAGAATGCAATGTAATAGGGTGATAATTAGCATACTCATCCCGTTTTCCTTTCTTATAAACCGGTCTAACTCATCCTACTTTCCTTTGGATATATGTAATCCCGAACTTACACTGCAGTTCATAAAGTTGGAAATAGTATTTTAAATATCAAACCCTATAATTTTAATACCAGATACTTTGAAAAAAGTCCTACATTCAAAGAAGGTGTGCATTTTAAATACTTTGCAACGGTAGTTAACAAAAATCGAATACATTTTAAAGTCGTGCGTCAGGAAATCTCGTGAATTTTCTACGTTCTCTAAGTTTATTACTATTATTATACTATATCTAACATTGCTCTAAGTTAATTGTTTGTTTGAGGAAAATTGTAAGTCAACATTATAGGTACCTAATTTATTCAACGTTACAAAACATAACCCTATTGTTTTTATTTATGTGATAGTAAGAGCGTCCTACATGAGCAGACGTAGAGTATTACCCAATGGAAACCCGCAACAACAGAGGAGCTAAGAGTGCGTTGCCGATCTTTTGGGGATTAGGAATTTGGAGATTTGGTGATTGGGGGAGGGGAAGGATTGGGCCTCTAGGGCTAGGGCTTGTAGGGTTTGCTCCCGGGAAATCACGGTACTCATTTGTCCCGGGAATTCCCGGTAATCTAATCTTTCATCTAGTTCCGGTACTGACAATGCAATTCTCGAGATTTTCGGTACTTTCGAGACTTACAAATTTTATTTTTGAATAACAATTTATGACATTGTTGCCATTCGGCAATCGATTGATAGTATTATCTTGTAGTTGAGAAAACACATTTTAGCTCAAATAGGTTGATTAAACGATTGATGCTTTTTATGAATATGGCAGTTATGTTTTAATGGGTATTTATGAATAGTTTTGTCGTATTGTCTAACTGTTTTGACAGATTTTTATTAAAGACCAATTGAACTGAAGAGAAAAAAAAAATAATATTTTTGTTAACCTTTTCACTTTTTTATTATAATTATGTACAAATTAGGTAGTTGGTTTGAGGCTTCCGGCGACTGACCGAACCGACCTATTCTCTCCCACAATTAATTTTATTTGAAATGAAGACTACAAAATTCGATATTCTCATGGTACCGTTGAGGCATTAAATAAATACCAGTCATACAAGCCGTTCTCTAATAAACAATGTCAATTTCAGATTGTTAAGTTGCTTGGGGGAATTTTTGATCATGGCGGCTAACTCTTTAACATGACACATCGAAGCGTCTATATAGGAAGGTGAAAGAAATCTGTACCTAAATAAAAAGAGAAAAATCAAGAAATGTAAATTTTCCAACGCTTCGATAATCAAAACCTGCTGTACACAAGCTGACCTTGGAAGAAGGTGCGGTGCCAGTAGACCTCTCTATGATGCACCTTCGGTCCAGGTTATAATCTGTCTAACGTGACGGCGACAAGGTTGGAGGAATTATTGCCAGTAGCTAACTTCTGGTCGGGGCTCAGTCGGGTTCTGGATACGGCAAGCTTTGTGCTGACTTAGGGTCTCAGGTCTTAGGGAGTCGGAGATGACGTACTTACGCCCAATTCACTAGACTGAACTGAAGTGACTGCAACCGTTGGGATCGTAATTCGGAAAGAGAATTTGGGCATTTTGAAGTAGTGCATAGAATGAGGGTCTTGTCTTAATCACCGCAGATCGCACCGCAGAGATAAAGTTTATAAAAAAACCTAAAATACTAGGAGATGCACATCGAAGGTATGTATGGCTGAGGAGTAGTATCAGAGCCATAGTTGGAAACCAAATATACACTTACTCACAAATAGCGGCCACTCTCTGGATGGGCCTCCCACATACTCGTGAGAAGACACTAAAATAACCAAGAGAAGGAGGACAAGTGAGCCTAGCTTGCTTGCTAGCGGCGTACGAGCGCCCGAATGGCTTTCATGTCTAAGGGGAGGT